TGTGCTTTGGAGTGAGTGGTGTGTTGAAGCATCCTAAAATGAATGCATTTCATTCTATTTCCCCCTTAAAATATGTTAGTATTTGTTTCACATATGTAGGTGATCCTGTGTTGCCTGCATAGATATTTATAATAGTTATATCCTCTTGTTGAACTGACCTCTTTATCACATTATGTAATATCCTTCTTTGTCTCTTGTTACTTTCTTTGTTTTGAAGTCTATTTTGTCTGATACAAGTACTGCAACTCCTGCTTTTTTATCTCTATTAGCTGCATGAAATATCTTTTTCCATCCCTTTACTTTCAGTCTGTGTATGTCTTTGGGCTTGAAGTGAGTCTCTTGTAGGCAGCATATAGACGGGTCTTGTTTTTTTATTCATTCAGTGACTCTATGTCTTTTGATTGGTACATTCAGACCATTTACATTTAGGGTGATTATCAGTACGCATGTACTTATTGCCATTGCAGGCTTTAGATTCGTGGTTACCAAAGGTTCAAGGGTAATTCCCTTACTATCTAACAGTCTAATTTATCTCACTTCATGTGCTATTACAAACACAACCTAAAGGTTCTTTTTTTTTCCTCCTTTTTCTTCCTCCTCCATTCTTTGTATGTTATGAGTCATATTCTCTACTCTCTGTCTATCCCTTGGGTGACATCTATTTAGCCTTAGGAAAACTTCCATCCATAGGAGTCCCACCAAAATGCACTGTAGAGGTGGTTTGTGGGAGGTAAATTCTCTCAGCTTTTTCTTATCTGAAAATTGTTTAATCCCTCCTTCAAATTTAAATGATAATCATGCTGGATACAGTATCCTTGGTTCAAGGCCCTTCCGCTCCATTGCATTAAATATATCATGCCATTCCCTTCTGGCCTGTAAGGTTTCTGTTGAGAAGTCTGATGATAGTCTAATGGGTTTTCCTTTGTATGTGAACTTTTTTCTCTCTCAAGCTGCTTTTAAAAGTCTGTCTTTATCCTTGATCTTTGCCATTTTAATTATTATATGTCTTGATGTTGTCTTCCTTGGGTCCCTTCTGTTGGGAGATCTGTGCACCTCCACGGCCTGAGAGACTATCTCCTTCCCCAGATTGGGGAATTTTTCAGCAATTACCTCCTCAATGACACTTTCTACCCCTTTTTCTCTCTCTTCTTCTTCTGGTACCCCTATAATACAAATATTGTTATGTTTGGATTGGTCACACAGTTCTCTCAATATTCTTTCATTACTAGAGATTCTTTTTTCTCTCTGTGCCTCAGCTTCTTTGTATTCCTCTTCTCTAATTTCTATTCCATCTACCTTCTCTTCTACTACATCTAATCTGATTTTAAATCCCTCCACTGTATGTTTCATTTCAGATATGGAATTTCTTAATGATTGAATCTCAGATTAAATTTGTTCCTGAGTTCTTGAATATTTTTCTGTACCTCCATTAGCCTGTTTATAATTTTTATTTTGAACTCTCTTTTAGGCAGATTGGTGAGTTCTGTTTCATTTGGCCCTTTTTCTGGGGTTTGTGAGATTTTGGTCTGAACAATGTTTTTTGACATTTCATATTTCTTTGTGGTGCCCACTAGTGCCCAGAAGCTCCAGTGTCTGGAGCTGCTCAGTCCCTAGAGTGAGGCTGGGAGTCATAGGGAAGCAGAGCTGGTGTCTGTGGGAAGGAGAGATCTGTTTCCTGATTCCCGTCTGTGGTGCCTGTCTCTGGTGTCAGGGCCGGTGGGCTGAGCACACAGGTGTAAGCTACTGTGCTTTGTGTCTCTAGCCGTTGTAGGCGGGGCCTTTCTCTGGCTGGCCTGATGCCAGCACAGTGACTGAAGGTTTATGAACTGGTGCCGGCAGACTCGGTGGAAGGTGTAGCAGGCTGGGCACTCGGAGCTGAGTAGGCAGCCAGGGGGATGGGGCACCTGAAGCTCCTCAAATTTCCCAACCTGCTGGGCAAAGTGTGCTCAGACAAACTTGTCCAGCTCTCCCTTCTCCCCATAACAAGCTACATGCAAACCCCGCCCCTTCAGCAGCCCTCTTGCTGCTAGGAAGCCTCTCAGACCGCCTGCCTTTCCCTTGTCCCAGAGCGGCCAGGTGTGTATCCCCTCCTCCACAAACAGCCAGGATCTCAGTCTCTCAAGCACTCCACCTGTCCCAGCTCCCCAACATCCAGAGCACCACACAGTGTAGATTTCTGCCCCCAAAGCAGACCTCCAGGGCTGGGTGTTCAGCAGTCCCAGGCTTCCACCCCCTCCCCGCTCCGTTTCTCTTCCTCCCACTGGTGAGCTGGGGTGGGGAAAGGGCTCTGGTCCCACAGGATTAAGGCTTTCTTACATTATCCTGTTTTGTGAGGTCTCTTCTGTTCATGAGGTCTGTATGCAGTCTGGTGCAGCCTTCTTTCCTGTTGCTGTTTTAGGGTTAGTTGTATCAATTAACTACATTTTCATACTATTTGTGGTTTTGGGAGGAACTCTCCATCTCACCTCTTATGCCACCATCTTGAATCCAAAATTTAGATTTTTTAAAGGAGCAGTTCAAATTTAAACAACCTATGTTCTCAATGTGTTGCAAAGTAAACATTCTGAAAAATTCGAAGAGCTGAACAATGAGCCACTCTTTAAATGGTTCTAAGAATCAAGTTGAAAAATATTTTATATAAATCTGAAGACTTCAGGACACATACAAGAACTACCAATTGCAGTAAAATAGCAAAAATTCAGACACTGTGCATTTTCCAAAAAAGTGACAAGGCATTTCCTGCAGCAAATCCCTAACACTTTATTTTGACAACTAGCACATATTTATATTTCCTGTTATTCTAGTCAGGGGACAGTTCAACATTGTCTCAGTTGATTAAGTGCCAACTCAAGTCAGTCTTTCAACATTTGTCCAGGTAACTGGACCAAGAATATCTGTTGAAGACTTGTCACAAATTACAGTGATATTTTTTATTGTTTGAATGATTCTGGTTGGCAGAGGTGATGCTGAACAGACAGTAGGTAAACAACACACAGATCCACTGAATTGTAACATTGGGATATTAAATAAACTGTGTCATTTGATATACTTCCCTAGAGCAAAACTAGTGAAACAATTTTCCTCTCTAGAATTTAAAGCAAAGAAAAAGGAATAATTTTAAAAATAAAAAAAACAGGATTATAACAATTAAAAAGAAGGACATAAAACTTTAAATCAGGATGGATTTTAGGAAATAAGGAGAATTAAGTCTAAATCAGGATGAAAAAATATCTTGGATTATTGCTGCCAAAAATGTATGACCATGATCTCATCATCAGAAAAAAAAAATTAATAAGCTCAATTGAGGAACATTCTACAAAATAAACTGCTAGTATTTTTTAAGGGTCAAGGCAACAAAAGAAAGACTAAGGAACTGTTGCAGATTGAAGAGGATTAAGGAGACAGCTGATTTTAAAAAGGCAACATAGAATTCTGGATTGGATGCTAGATTAGAAAAAAAATAGTGAAAGAACTGAGGAAATTTGAAATAAATCTATAATTAGTTAATAGCAATGTACTAATTTTGTGGCTTTAATAAGGATGCTAGGATAAAGGTTTACAGATTCTTTATATACTATGTTTGAAACTATTTTGTGAGCTTTAATTATTTAAAAATTTAAATAAAAAAAAGCACTCTGAGATGGCTCAAGACTGTGGCCAACATTTTAAGAGATATAACTGAGGAATTCTACATTTATGAAATGATCTGAGCCATAACAAATTTTAAGAGTACATGTTGCCAACTGAGCAGCCTACCATCTTGAGTATTCATAAAGTATGTTTTTTGGTAGCACTGCAGCCCAGTGATTTGCCACAAGGCGTTACCTGCCACAGGCAACCTCTGAAGTAAGGCATTACAACCCAAGGGAATTAGAGCATTTGTAAATGAGAGCTGGACTGATATTTTTGCTGATACATGGAAATTGTGGGTGAACACCTCCTAATTTTAACTTCAAAAAATTGTATAATAATAGATTGTACAAAGTATAGATCCTTGAGGTCCCAGAGAAAATACCTACTTGGATTATTAAAGCAGTAATCAGTAGACCCAACAAAATGCATAAACTACAACTCATATTTGACTCAATTTACTTCCTTCTTAGAGAGTTATTGATTGATTGGTAAAGTTAATAGAGAGAAAGGACAGCCAGACTTGAGTGAGGTAATTAGTAAAATCTTTTGTAATGTTTTGTGGGAAACGGAAAAATTTTGGCAGGACACATGGATAATTAAATGAAATTTTTTTTGTTAATTACTGACTGAAATTTCACTGTGAATGGGTTAGTATCACCGTTGAGGAAAGTCCAAGAGTTTTTTCCTCAGCCAACTCTGTATAAATGGAATATTTATCATGGACACAGTAGACAGAAAGTCGATACAGTGAATACCTGCCAAAATCTCATCTGTCTTCTCCACCACATGACCCCCCACTATTCAGAGCACAGTTTACTGGGGAAGAGGAGGATGTTGATACAAGGATGGCCACCTCTATGCCGCCAGTGACTGGCCGGACCAATGAGATCCCTTCTCTTAGAGGGCCAGAAAATTTGACTCCATGTTAATGTCATTCTTCTCCAGTGTCATTCACCACTATTTCAGTCACCTAACGTGACCATGTCTACCTGAGACTCTTTACCTAAAGTTATTAAAGTGATCCCAAAGCAGCAGACATTTCACCTTTTTTAGTATTTGTACGTGATTTCCACTGACATGGGGTGCCTGTCCATATGGCATTAATTTATCAGTCAAAAATAACAATACATAAAATATGTTTTCTGTGTTCACAATAATACAATTCATTGAGTCAAAATCTATTATAGATTTCTTTTAAGTTTTATTCCAACAAATGGGTAGTCTCTAATTTGAGCAGAAAAATAATTCACTTTTTACAATACAGAGTTTTCAACATTACTATCCCTAGAGTAATTTAGGTTGCATGTACTCCTAAACTGCAACCTTGTAATGCTTACAAGAATAATAAACATTAATAATAGACTTACCAATACTTGGGTAACCAGGCGTAGAAGGGTCTCCTCCTGGATTCAGTGACACCATGAAGGTGTCATAACTAAGATTTGCAGTCTTTGGTAAATCACAAGGATCAATATATAGAAGAACACCTCCAAATCCAGCTTTTTCCAATAAGGAAAGCTAAAAGAGGAGAACAAACTATTAAAAATAGTATCATAAATAAGAAAAGTTCATATATTGTCATTTCATGAATATGAATAAGTTAACAGCCTTTTCTAGATCTTTTAAAATAAGCAGACCCTTCAGGTTACCCAATTATCAAAGCCCAGTTGGAATGTTATTCTGCCAGCCTCTTCCCTTTTTTCTCTGTCTCAATAATATTTAAGCAGTATTCCTATAATGTCTATATTTGATTTTGGTTATATAAACATGAAATTCCCCCCTCTCTTAACTGTCCAAATAGATCTGGAATTTCTATTTTTGTGATATTAACAAAGAATCTACCACAAAGCTCCTCTATAAAAAGAGAGATTTTCTGACCACTATCATGTCCTTCCCTAGAGCAGAAGTCACCTGCAGTATTTTGATATACCTCCCCCAGGGTTGAGCCTGTCATACCAGATGCTGTATACTGAAATTCTTTCACGCTGTTTGGCAATAGCCGCTGTCCTAAAGCTCCTGAGGGTTCTGCCATACTAGTCACTGGTCACTCTGGTCTTTGTCCTCAATGTCTCCCAGGCAGACCTCCCAATTATAGCAACTGAGGGATTTACAGAACCTAAGGAGAGGCCTCCTTTTGAATGGTCAGCTCCTGCACTATCTCTGTCATTATTTTAAAAATAGCCTCTCATTACTTCATTTGAGACATAGCTGATACAAAGATTCTTCTCTGCTCTTTACTAAGTACATAAGAAATAAGTATGATGGGGCAGATGGATTTGACAACATTCCCTGTTCTCTTTAACTTGGTAAATTAATTTTGGGGTAAGGAACTTATACATGTTAGTGTGTGATGTGAATGCTATTAATGTGACATACTTATCTCAAGTATCAGTTTTTATCTTTCTACATATTTTTCCTTATTTAATTAAAATTATACTTTAGATATAATTTTCCCCTGTAAAAGTACAACCTAATTATATATAAAAATATATATAAAATATAACTTCAATTACATAAAGGAATTATGTGACAATCATGATTTGCTAATGCTATTTGTTATGAGAGAGGAAAAGTAATTAGGGGACAATAGGGAATAATGGAGACTATGACTAAGGGTCATAGGGAGTTGCTATTCATTGTGTGGCTCCAGTTAACACCTACACTTCACTTCCTAGTTACTGTTTGTCTTGTTTATTGAGTTTTAAGAAAGGCTGTAGCTAGTGTGCCTGGCTAGAGTACTCCATGAGGACAGGAATCATGCATATCTTCTCTGTCACTGTACTCCTTGCCCTTAACAGGCCCGTTGTAGGCATTCAAGAGTATGCTATGCAAAACAATGAGCGAGAAGAATGCTAGTTTGTCACAGAAACTACTCTTAGAAAAAGAGAGCTTTGAGCAACTATTAGGATGTACTTCTATGGGGGAAAATTATATATAAAATATAATTTTAATTACATAAAGGAAATAATATGCAGAAAGATAAAAACCGATATTTGAAATAAGTGTGCCACATTATTTATTATTTTCAACTCCTTGAAAAATGTTCTGTACTTTCCAATCTTTAATATAATGAGCAAGTAGGTGTTATTTTTATATAAGAAAAAAGAAAACTAATACTGAGAACCTAAGCAAATTATAGCAAAGTATAATTACCTCACATGTACCTTCTATAACAAACTACTCTGATCAGATTTGTATCATTTTTTTCCCCATCTTTAATGAAGAGGAGGAGAGGATTTAGGGAGAGAAGAGGAATGAGAAAAGGGGGAAAGAAGAAAGGATATGTGAATAAGAAGGCCAGATGTAAGCCTGACTCTCTAACAGCTCACCCTGAAGTCCTTAGGGAGGACAACTAATGCTTACATGCTGAATTGCTGTTCTTAAAAAAGGAATCATCAATGGAATGATTTTGAGTGTTCTGCTCCCTATAGGAGACTATATCAAGAAAAAATATGAACTTCTCTAGAAAGCAATTTTTTAAAAATTACTAAAGCAATTCATGATCACTGGAGAGGAAAAGATACAGGCCAAAATAATAATAATAATAACAGTAATAGCAGTCCCATCATCCTGTCAAGAGGTACAAATGTTAACATATTGGAGTTTCTAGACACTTTTATTAGGACTCGTGTACATACACACATACACATACAAAATAAGATCCCATATCATAAATACTATTTGCAATCTCTTTTTGCACATACTAACAGTACATATAGAACATCTATCCATGTTGATAAGTATACTTTTATATAATTTTAATAGCTATGTACTATACATATGTAAATAATACAAATAATATTTTACAAGGAGGCCATCAAATGTTATTTAACCAGTCCCTAAGTATTGGTCAGAAACATTTTTTTTTTATATTACACAGCAGATTTCCTTATAGCCAAATCATGGCAAAAATTTCTATTTTCATGGAATATATTCCCATAGGTAGAATTTCTATGTCAAAATATTCCTGTTTTTATGATTTTTGATAAAATACCTTCCTTCAATAAAAGCTATCACATTATATTCTTACCAGGCATACATATGACTTCTTGCTTTCCCTCACTGTAACCAACACTGAGTATTATTTTTTTAAGAAATATTTGTTAATCTAATGAAAACTATGTGCCCAATTTTTTTAAATCACAAGTGAAGTTAAATGTATTTTGATCACTGCCACATTTTGAGAAATACCTGCTTAAGAATAACTTTTTTTTTTTAATGATTCCTGGGCCATTTATCCATTGGCAACTATATAGTGAGTATCACTTTCTGTGGGGAGGTAATATACTGACATTGATATAAGGAGTTAAGTAGGATAAGATCCCTGATCTTAGGAAGTTCAGTTAACCAGGGAAATGACAGTTTTCATCTTAAGTGCTGACTCCAGTTAACTGGCAATGAGTGGCTACTTGGAGAAGGACTCTCAGGCCAGGTTCAAAGCCAGTGGGAACTGGAAAATCCCTCTATTAGAGATGCCTGTTATATACAAGAGAAAAGAAAATGGTGATCTACAGTTTTTTTTTTAATTTGCTGACCCTCAAAATATCTTCAAAAATCTCTTTAAAAGGTTAGTATGACAGTATTTGTTTAATGTTTATGAAACCTAATGATTTATGTTCATCAAAAATAAAATGCTAGAGTTGCATATTTTTTCTCTCCTGATTATATTTGGCAATACATTGTAATTGATCATCAACATATATCACAACATCTTTCTATAATTGATGGGTTATAATGAAGCAATGTTGCTTAATTGTATATTATCTTTGGCCAGAGTCGATGGCGTCTACAGGCCTGAAGAGATGACCCTATGGGTGATTTGGCTCCTCTTCTTCTCCTCTGCCTGAAATAGTTGAACCTCAGGTGGATATCTTCAGTGTTGTCAAATCTGGTTTTTGGTGCTTTACCTCGCTGGCTGTCACAGGCCTCTCAAATAAGAAGCTTACTTTAGTGATTCAATTTCAGAATTGTCTATTGCTGGATTTGATTTCCAATTAATTTGACAACAGAAGAAACTGCCTAAATTTAAAAAAAATTACTCTGCATTCTTAGCATTGCATTTTAAACATGAAAATGTGGGGATTGCAAATATTCAAAAGATCTAGTCTGGTGAGGTTATATTTCTAAAAATACATTCAAAAGTAAGCCAATGCCAAAAGGGTGAAGCCAGCTGTCCTTCAGCTGTCTGCATTGGCTGGTGGCAGAGTGTCCCTGGGTGCTCAGATAAAAGTTGTGAACCCTGCCCAGGACCTCTTGAGATAGCTTGAGGTCAAGAATGGTAATCATCCTGGGGTCCTAATCATGTAAATGAAGGTCATGATTTTCTGACATTGAACTTTGACTATCCTTTGCTTCTCATCCTCAAGTCTATATTAGTCTGGGCTTCTTCATTATACTTGCCACCTTTTAAACTAAGAAAACATTTGACATAAGTAGAACCAGTCAAAAGTTGGAACTGAGACACAAAAATGAGCCAGGTAGATTGTGTCTGGCCTACGTGTCATAAGGTCGCGGAGAGCCAGGCCACGGCCACAGGCTAGCGTGGTGCATGGACCCAAGAGGCCCCTGGAGGAGCACCGTTCACTAATTTACACAAAGGACCATATGAGTGAGTGGTTTCTCCATTCAGGAGCAGCTCCTTGATGGTGCAAATTAGCATTTTCAGGGCTTGGGAACTATGAGCCTTACCATGGAAAATAGTGACAAAAATGGGGTAGGAATTCAGAAAAGTAAATTAATTAATTAAAAAGAGAGAAGAATGGGCAGGCAAAGGAATACCACACGTAGATTCAATGTGCAACTGTGTTCCTTTACTAAAATTTTCCTCCCTTTCTTCAAAAATGCTTCTGTAACTTGTAAAACAATCAATCATTAACCAAGCTAAGTGAAAAAGCATTAGATTGGGAAATGGTACTGGATTTTGGTACCAACCCTGCACTAAATAGCTATCTGACAACTCAGATAATCTTTCCAGGCTGTTTTTTCCATCCTTAAAATGCAAGGAGTAAACAACATTATCCTCAAACACCCTTTTTGTTCTACATGAATAAAAACATGTAGTCTAATCCTATGATTTAAAAAAATGTTTATGGAGACATATTTACTGTACTTTCAAATACATTATCACATATGAAATTTGCTCTTAAACTATTGGTCAGGAATACATTATCCAAAAACAACATAATTTCTATCATTAAGAAAGATACTCCTAATAGTTTTATGTGGTTTCTTAGAACATATAGTATAAATGTTCTAATTTAGCTTTAAACTTTTATCAGGAACAAAATAAAAGGAAAACTGAAATAGTCAGAATCTATACATTAAAACTCTTCTGAGTAATGAGTTATTCCTTCCTTCCTTTTCACATCTAATTTAGTAGTACATTATGAATTGCTAATTTCACCTTTCAATACTATTTCATAGTGTTTACACACTAAAATATATTGCATATATATATGACAATTGCAATAAATTGTGCAGGGTTAAATGAAAACTATTTTAATGTAGCTATCAATATT